GGGTCTCGAACCCGCAGGCTCAGGCAATCCACTCACCTCAGCCTCCCAAAGTGCTGGGATTACAGGCTGAGCCACCAAGCCCAGCTGGTTTTAATATTTTTTACACTTTTAAAAATCTAAACAAATTTTGGGAGATTCAGTCATCATTATTTTTCTATTTGATGCAGACTATCTAAAATAAGTCTTAATGGCCGGGCTCGGTGGCTCAGCCTGTAATCCCAGCACTTTGGGAGGCCGAGGTGAGAGGACTGCCTGAACCCATGGGTTCAAGACCCGCCAGGGCAACTTGGTGGGACCTCGTCTCTACAATAAATCAAAAACTAGCCAGGCGTGGTAGGGCACGCCTGTATTCCGGCTACTTGGAAGGCTGAGGCAGAAGCCCGGAGCCCAGTAGGTCGAGGATGCGGTGACCGGGGACGTGCCTCTGCACTTCAGTCTGGGTGACAGTGAGACTCCAACTAAAAAAAAAAATGTTTTTAAATAAATCTTAAGTTAATTTTTCATACTTAAAAAGTTTATGCTTAAAATAAAGATGAATTAATGATCCAGGTGATTGGGCTGGTTTTTTTGACGACCAGCCTGTCTTATACATTGCTGTTAGGACTTTCAAGCTGTACCAGGTGTGATTTAGAGGGACAGAGAGAGATGAAGCAAGTTCCTACCCTTTGCCCATTTCCATGCTTACCATGACCTTGGAGCTCTTGTGTGGGTGCTGAGGATGACCAGCGTCAGCACCTGCTCTGGGCAGTCCAGATGTAGATTCCAGACCAGCACAGAGCCACACGTTCAGACTCTCAGCCATGCTTTTGCTCTCAGCCATCACCTCTTGTTACCCATCAGCCTCTCTGTGGTCCATTTCTGAGTGTTAGTTATTCCCCAGTTTTCTTTGATCATTTTCTATCAATCAGTCTATTGAACATCAGTTCCTGACCTCAGAAAACAATTACAACCCCTTTGGATACTGTTAGGATAGGATGGTTAGGATGACATTTTTCCCACTTAAGAGAAGTAGAATTCAGTTGGTCCATCCTTCCGTCCTTTCTTCCTGCCTTCCTTCCTTCCTACAATATCTCTCTGTGTTGCCGAGGCTAGGGTCTCAAACTCCTGAGCTCAAATAATCCTCCCACTTTGACCTCTCAAAGTGCTGGAATTACAGTGTCAGCTGCCACTCCCAGCCAGGACTGAGATATTTTTAGTATATTTTTAGACTCCTAGACTTAAAGACTCTGGATTTAGAGGCTGCTTGTCTGTAATTTTTTTTTTTTAATTTTTGCTTTAGATTGAAAAGTAATTTATAAAGACTTGTCATATATTTTTCTTCTAATCTTTATGGTTAGAAAAAAATTATTACTACCTGAGAATGAAGTTAGTTATAATCAATATATTACTTGATATCATGTTTTTCATAATTGACTATGAAATGTAAGACTTTCATATTAGCACTTATTCTGTTTTTTGTTATAGTTTAAAATCTGCTGTTTCCAGTGACATGTATGATATTAAATTTAATTTAGACGTTTGTGGTATTTGAATACTTGTATTTATTTATTTATTTTGACTGAAGAAATTCTCAAATGACTTGTGTGATTTTGAAGGCCTTTTTTCCTTTTTAGGGCAACTTCACTTAAACTATGTCATCCCTTCCCACCTGCCTCATGCCTACTCTTAAACACATATTCAGAAAGTTCAAGTACTGATTTTTTTTTTTTTTAGTTGGAGTCTCACTCTGTCGCCCAGACTGGAGTGCAGTGGCTGCTCCGTAGCCTCGACCTGCTGGGCTCCGTGATCCTTCCGCCTCAGCCTTCCAAGTAGCTGGAACTACTACAGGCACACGCTACCACGCCCAGCTAATTTTATGATTTATTGTAGAGATGAGGTCTACGTCTCAAACCCGCAGGCTCAGGCAATCCACTTGCCTCAGCCTCCCAAAGCGTGGGATTACAGACTGAGCCACCGAGCCCAGCTGAATTTTTTTAATATTTGAGAAGCATCCATTTTTTAGGAATTCAAGAAATTATGACCGGGCTCAGTAGCTCAGCCTGTAATCCTGTGCTTTGGGAGGCCAAGGTGAGTGAATTGCCTGAGGCCGCGGATTCAAGACCTGCCTAGGCAACTTGGTGAAACCTCATCTCTACAATAAATCAAAAAAATTAGCCGGGCGTGGTAGCACATGCCTGTAGTTCTGGCTACTTGGAAGACTGAGGCGGAAGGATCGCTGGAGCCCAGCAAGTCAAGGCTGTCGTGGCCAGGAGCAGCCACTGCATTCTAGTCTGGGTGACAGAGTGAGACGCCAACTCAAAAAAAAAAAAAGAAATTATACATATGTAAACCTTTAATCTGAAAATATCTGAATTATAATTTAACTGTCTTGAATTTGGGTGAAATCATTTAGAAAGTAATTATTGTCAGAGAAGCTGCCATTATGAAAAATGGAGACAAGTGTGTTACTCCTGTTAGCAAAATTCTCATTTTAAAATGTTTAAGCTACAAAGAACATTATCTCCACTCCTAACTGGTGCCTGCATCATGTGGCTGTTTTATCACATGAGAGTGGGTTTCTCGGAACCAGCCTTGGGGTGATTCTGTTGAAGGTAGTATCATAAATACCAAGTGACGTGTAATGAAATTTTTGTGATTCTGATGGAGTTTAAGTTGTTTAATTAAATATTAAAAATAACATTCCTCTTTATGCCATTTCCTAGATATAGTGGAACCAAAGGAGAGGGGCAGGCTGCCAGCCACCCAAGCAGCAGCTGAATTGTCTAGAAACGTATCTTCACCCCGTTCTTACCCATCAGTTGCCAATAAAGGTGGGATAGTAGCTAGCCCTAACCCCGATGACAGCGTGCTGTTCACAGATAAAGGGGTCTTGAAACTTGTGTCAAGAAAGACTTTGGTAGAGTTTCCTCAAAAAGTTTCATCTCCATTCAGAAAGCAGGGCTCTGGTTCAGAAGCATGCCGGGAGGGCCAGAGAGCAATGAATGATTCCTCTTCATCCTCATCCAGCTCCTCAGATTCAGAGTCTGACGATGAGGGTCACATCTCAGAAGCTGGTCCTCAAGTGGTGAGCAAAGGCAAGGGGAAATATCGGAAGCCAGAAGCTGCTCATTCCCTTGAAAACAGAGGCCCCCAAGATGTGATATCAGTAAAAGAGAAGACCTTGTCACAGAAACCACCTGCGGACATCACCTACCCAGAGAAGCTCCATCAGTCAAAGAAGAAAGTGTTCACTGTTAAACCACTAGAGCACAGAAAAGATGCCACACCAAAAACTACAACACCAAAACCGCAAGTAGATGGAAAGCTTCTGGGGCAAAATTTAAAGGAAAAACAATTGCAGAAAGCACTTAGATCACATAAAATAGATAAAAAGAGCCAGAAGCCCCTCGAAGTTAAAAAAGTCTTACCTGACCACGCAGAATCAGGATTGTCAGCACAGCTGAAGGACAGCCCCATCCCCACTGTGTGGATGGAAGAGGCCAGAGCAGGGGGCCAGCTGCAAGCCATTCCTCCTGGGGCCAGGGAGAGATCTCGGGAAAAACACATGCTTGAGCCTGAGGGGAAGGCGGCTCCCCTGCTCGGAAAAGAAGACTTGGGGAAGCAGGAACCAGAAGGGCACCTGAAGGCTGCAGAAGAGATGGTGGAAGATCAGGTACCACTAAGAGATTTGAAGGCAGTTCCTGTTGACACTCAAGATGTCTTGGATGAAAAGACAGCAGTGCCACAGTTTGAGGAAAAGGGCGAGGCAACAGAAGACTTCACTGTGCCAGTGGAAGGCCAGGACGGCACACAGGGTATACCTTGGCCCGCAAACCCTTGTCCCCATGGGGTAGTCAGACTCTAAGGAGCTAGTTTACATTTCTGTTTGATTATAGAGAAGTAAGACAGTGAATCAGGCACACACTAGCCATGCAGCCCATAACATAGTCTTGGCCAAGCAGGGAAGTGTGTCTTCACTTTGGATAATGCACATCTTTTTTTTTCCCCTCATATAAACAGGTTTAATGTAATATGGGATGCGAAAGATGAGACCATTGGACAATGCACATCTTTATATACAGAATCTCCAAAATACTTTACATTTATTTAAAAATGATATTGGCACTCGTGACTGTTTCTTTTTTTTTTTTGAGTTGGAGTCTCACTCTGTCGTCCAGACTGGAGTGCAGTGGCCGCTCCCGGCCACCGCAGCCTCGGCCTGCTGGGCTCCAGCGATCCTTCCGCCTCAGCCTTCCGAGTAGCCGGAATTACAGGCATGCGCCGCCACACCCAGCTGATTTTTTGATTTATTGTAGAGATGAGGTCTCACTGCCCAGGCGGGTCTCGAACCCACGGGCTCAGGCAATTCACTCACCTCAGCCTCCCAAAGGCGCGGGATTACAGGCTGAGCGTGACTGTTTCTTAATGAGAGTAATTTTTGAAAACTGTCAGCCCTACATCATCACTTTTAACTTTTTTTTTTTTTTGAGTTGGAATCTCACTCTGTCGCTCAGACAAGAGTGCAGTGGCCGCTCCTGGCCACCGCAGCCTCGCCTGCTGGGCTCCAACCATCCTTCCACCTCAGCCTTCCGAGTAGCTGGAACTACAGGCGCGCGCTACCACGCCTGGCTAATTTTTTGATTTATTGTAGATGAGCTCTCACCAAGTTGCCCAGGCAGGTCTCAAACCCTTGGGTTCAGGCAATCCACTCACCTCAGCCTCCCAAAGGCGCGGGATTACAGGCTGAGCCACCGAGCCCGGCTCACTTTTAACTTTTAAGGGTGTCCAAGTGTTTATTTCATGAGCTTGCAGGGCACCTCACTGAGTGGAAGGGGGTATCCCCTCGCTAACTGGCATAGGTGAAGAACAGTAGTCACCCTTGGTATGTCACCTGTCTTTAGGTGAACTGAATTCAGTGATTATATTTAACATCCTATGCATAAGGGAACATCCCCATCTTGGGAATTAAAGCAGTAAGCATCACACAGAGGCAGCTGTGGACTGTATGAAAGTCCTTTTCACTGGAGAATATTTTCTTCTCTGATTAACTGAGACACACATGGGCTGCTTTCTTTTATAATTAACTTTATGAAGGTTTTTTTGGGTTTTTTTGTTTTTTTTTTTTAAAGGAAACAGTGTTTATTCCTATTATGTTACCATTTTTTGAGTGCTGACCTTGAGAAGGTGCAATGTGCTTTAGGATCATGGCACACACGAAATTAGTGTTAGAATCTGTGGGTCTCTCCAATGTGGTGTTACTAACTACTCCAGCTCCTTCCTGAGCCTGCTCCTCATTCTTTTCTTTGTAAAGCCTCCCAGGCCTAATTTGCATCACCTGATACATATTGTTATTGGTTGCATTATGTTGACAGGATTTATGTGTTTTCTTCCCTTTCCTTTTGTTCCCTCTTCATTAATATGCAAAGTGCCAGCACTCGCCAGATTGCTCAAGACCTAAACCTGCGTGTTCTGATGCTGCTGCTCTCAGGGCTTCCGCTCTCAGCTGGAGAGGATTACCCAAGCCTGCAGGATAAACACAGGGAGCCTGGGTGTTCAGATCACAAACCTCTGTGAAAAGGAGTTTGCTTCCATTATTTCATGAATGTGTTATTTTTCAAATATTTTCTTTGCCCTTCAAAGGCTAAAGAAGACACTCAAGAGCAGAGCCCACTTTGCAGAGCTGTGCTGTGCAGAGCAGATGGATTCTCATTAGGTAGTCCCTGCGCCAGTACTGGGCACTTGCCTTCCAGGTGGATTGGCTGGGATAAGAGTTTTATAACCTGGGCCTTCCTTCAGTTACCACCTTCCCTGAATGTATCGCTATAATAATACATTTCACTGAAGTGGTCTTCCTTCCTTATCAACCTTCCTTGAATGTGTCACTATAATAAGACATTCCACCTTGAAGTTGTGGTCTTCAGTTACCACCTTTCCTGAATGTATCACTGTAATGATACATTCCACCTTGAAGTCACTATAAGGATGCACTATAACGATACATTCCACCTAGAAGTTGTACCTATACCACATGGAAGACTTTCAGCTTGTTGAGAGTGGAAAGATGTCACCTCTTTAAACAAGATGTTATTTTTGCTTAACACAATTAAAAAATGAAAAACAGCTTTTGATTGAAATAGTGAACAAACGTATTTGAGTTTTGTGGAGCATGAGTAGAAGTTGAGACAGCCCTAATGACCTTGTTTCCAGAAGCTGAGTCAGAAGAATCATAACCAAGATGTCAACTGTCATCCCATGCAGGCCTAACTTGCCATCACGTCTTGTTGTTTGTCACATTGCAAGAGAACAATATTGCTTTTCCTTCAGCCCCAACTTGCAGTTTTAACATTACCAAGTATTTAGATGTATGTGTTTTAATTTTTTCCATTTAAAGAAAGAAAGCTACTTGTCTACAATAAATCAAAATGAGCCGGGCGTGGTACCGCATGCCTGTAGTTCCAGCTACTTGGAAGGCTGAGGCGGAAGGATCGCTGGAGCCCAGCAGGTGGAGGCTGCGGTGGCCGGGAGCGGCCACTGCACTCCAGTCTGGGTGACAGAGTGAGACTCCAACTCAAAAAAAAATTAAAGAAATAAAGCTAAATTAGTATGATTAGTCAGTGAATCTAAAATATAGTAACAATTTTTCAAAGTTAAAACAAAAACTACCTATCTCGTTTCTAGCTTCTCTAACTGCTGCTGTTATTATAACGGAATTTATCTAATTTTTCTTGTATTCAGAGACTAGAAGCCTCCCTTAGTTTATACTTTTGACATTTCTCTATAAGGGGTTTATTTCTATTATAGACAGATTTCTAATAGAGGTAATTTTTTCATGCTTCTTTATGTGAACTTAAAGTCCCTCCATAATTTTCTGTGCATTTTCAGACTTTTGAAAAGTCTGAGGCCTAGAAATACACAAAGTAAGATGTTAAGACACATTGTAACAACTCTTACATTTTTTAAATTGCCAAGGCTATATGTTCTAGAATAAATTTGCAACTAATGCCTTTATTTTGCTTTTGAAGATGCTGTGGCTTTCACGGTTTTTCTTTTCTGATGAGCCAGTTGGTTCCTCACAGATAGGCTGACAAAGAGTGTAGTAGACAGGTGCCTGAGTGTGAGCCAGCTCACTCGTGAGGAGCTGTCCTTGCAACATTCTCACAGCCTTGCGCTTCCTCCCCAGAGCCCACCCCAGCGCCCAACGAGCCATTTGACAACACCACCTACAAGAACCTCCAGCACCACGACTACAGCACGTACACCTTCCTAGACTTGAACCTCAATCTCTCGAAGTTCAGGATGCCGCAGCCCTCTTCAGGACGAGAGTCACCACGACACTGAGAGTCTTCGGCTCAGAGATGAACCTTCCTGCATTCTTACCTGCAAAAATAAAGTCCGCTCGAGAGTCATGAAGCCCAGTGTGCATAATTAGTTCCACTTTTACACTTTTTACCGTGAATGGTGAAATAGCAATGCTGTTGCTGATTTTAGTCAGCATGTATTTAGGAAGAGCCACTATATGCAAGGAATTTTTCTTAAATTATAAATTTGTGACTACTGGGCAAATCCATTAAATTAAATTCGTAAGTGTTTGTGAACAGTGTGATTGTACTGTATTGAGTCCAGTCAATTTAGCATGAAACTGACTGACAGTTGTCAGTAAACACAATAGTGACGTCTAATTTTATAGGCCTAGTTTTTTCATAAATTGGAAACAGGAGTTCTACTAATTTCAACTACTGAATTATAAATAAATTGCAGTACTACAGCATTTTTATCATTAGAAAAAGAAGAGAATCATTTTATTCACCTCTTAGTATTTGATGTAAACTTGGGGAAATGTTCCCTGGTGAGTTTAGGAACAGCCGAAAGTGTTGTGCAGCCAGCAACAGCTTCACCCCGGCTGGACACAAGCAGACTCCAAGCTAATGTAGGGTTTCTGGGGTGGCTGAGTGACCTTCCATTGCATGTGATGACTTAATTCTGCTCACACCTTTGGGGGCATTGAGCATCGAAAGGGACTCAAGCATCCAGTGTCTAAGCCCTGGATACTCCGGGGGACAGGCCCACTGTCTGACATAGAGAAAGTCACAAATGCAGATGAGGTTACTACAACTGGGCTGAGATGAGATACTTGCAGCCACTCATTAGCGGCAGTGTGTGGGGCCTACAGCAAAAATGTTTTGTCTACACATACGCGACAATTCTTGATGTTTTGCTTTGTTGTCCTCACACTTCCTTTCACAGAATTGTTAGTGGACCCAAACTTGTGGGTTCTGTTTCATTTGAATTCTGGTCCTTGGCTTCCAGTCAACTTACTGCAAACTCAGCACTGTGTTTGTAACTTATGATTCACATTTTTATAATCCTACATTTCTTAAAATTAGTCCAAGAAAGAATACCAAAATTGAAAACTAGTTCTGTGATGATCTGCTTCAGATTTTGTTACCACCCAAGAGGCTTAGCAACTCGGCAAGATTCTTCTAAACATGTTTTTAATTTAATTTAATTTTTAATTTTTATTTTTTATTTTTTGAGTTGGAGTCTCACTCTGTCGCCCAGACTGGAGTACAGTGGCCGCTACCGGCCACTGCACCCTCGACTTGCTGGGCTCCGGCAATATTTCCGCCTCAGCCTTCCGAGTAGCCCGAATTACAGGCACGCACTACCACGCCCGGCTGATTTTTTGATTTATTGTAGAGATGAGGTCTCACTGCCCAGGCGGATCCCGAACCCGCGGGCTCAGGCAATCCACTCACCTCAGCCTCCCAAAGGCGTGGGATTACAGGCTGAGCCACCGAACCCGGCTCATGTTTTTAATTTTAAAAGTAATGAAATCACATTACCAAAAAAGAAAATAAGTTCCCTCAAGTCTACTATGCTAACCCAGCCATTCTTCACATTTTACACGTTTCCCTGGTGCTGGTGGAGTTGGGTGGATGTAATCATTTAATGTGTACACAACCTTCCATCCTGCTGTTTGGATTTTTCTGCTTGGTTTCTCACAGCTTCTCCAGCGGGTCCATGGAACCCTGTGGTGCATGTGATGTGTCAGATGTGAAGCCTCCTCTCCTGGACTGTTGATACCAAGACTTGGATTCTTTTGATATTAAAATAAGTATATTTTAATATGTTTTTAAGGTGAAGCATAAGACTTGAATAAAGTTCTTCTCTTGGATCTGGTCCTGTTGAGCTAGGGTTTCAATCTTTCTGGGAGTTAGATTCAGTTTCCCCATTGATTGAAAAGGCTTAAAAATGGATCACCAAAGTGAGGGTCTGCATTTTATAGCCATTGAGGACAACTTCTTGATAATTCAATCTGGTGGTGATACAGTGGTTACCCACAGAGCCCATGTTTTGGATCCATTATTTCCCATGTTCTCTTTTTTTTTCTTTTTGAGTTGGAGTCTCACTCTGTAGCCCAGACTGGGCGGCCACTGCAGCCTCGACCTGCTGGGGTCCAGTGATCCTTCCACCTCAGCCTTCCAAGTAGCCAGAATTACAGGCATGCGCTACCACACCTGGCTGATTTTTTTATTTATTGTAGAGATGAGGTCTCACTGCCCAGGCGGGTCTCGAACCCACGGGCTCAGGCAATCCACTCACCTCAGCCTCCCAAAGGCGCAGGATTACAGGCTGAGCCACCAAGCCCAACCCCATGTTCTCTTAAAGAGTGCTGCCAGAGACAGCGGTGTGGGGGTGTCCCGTTCTGTGTTTTATTTTTGTTTTTGTGGGGTTTTTTTTGAGTTGGAGTCTCACTCTGTCGCCCAGACTGGAGTGCAGTGGCCGTTCCCGGCCACCGCAGACTCGACCTGCTGGGCTCCAGCAATCCTTCCACCTCAGCCTTCCAAGCAGCTGGAACTACAGGTGCGTAGTTCCACGCCCAGGTAACCTTTTGATTTATTGTAGAGATGAGGTTCGCCAAGTTGCCCAGGCGGGTCTTGAACCCACGGGCTCAGGCAATCCACTCACCTCAGCCTCCCAAAGTGCGGGATTATATGCTGAGCCACCGAGCCCAGCTGATAGTGACATTTTTGATCCAGACTTCCTGGTGCTAGGTATCAGAGTTATCTCATAGCTTTTATCAGTAGGACCCGGCAGAAGCATTAATCAAGCTTCCCATAGAGTAAAGGGCCTAAGACATCATGCATTACACAAAAGTTATACGAATCACAAAACTTACGATTACATTGATACAAAAGTTATATAAATCACAAGGCTTACAATTACTTGATACTATATTATTCAAACTTATAACCACTCAGAAAAAGGGAATAAAAAGAGATTTGCATATTTCAGTTGATTGGGCATAGACTACAGGTAAGTCAAGGATCCCCTGAAGCTACTTACTGGGAGTGCATAGGAGAAAAGGGAAGCACACCTTTTATTAGCTCTCAGGAATATTGTTCAGGAATGTACAGGAGTGCT